ACTATTTCTAAGCTTAGTATATTTGTTTATTAAATTATGATATTGTTTAATATAGATCATGTGGGCAGATGTGATCTCCCTCACTGAGTAATTCTTCCCGGAATTGCTCACCCCTCTTTTTCCCTTTTTCAGTGTGTAGGTGTATTTTTTGTGTTGCAAGTTAGGGTGCGAGACTTAGGGCTCAAAGTAAACGGGGCGGGGTGTTACAAAAGGGCTTATGTATTTGTATCTAAATATTAATAAATAAGATACATACTCACATGCCCATGTCRTTTCAACAGATGTTTGCATCCACAAGTTTATGAGCAGACATGATTGCTTACTAACTTGGGTTCCTTTACGATCACAAACAAACAAGACACAAGCATGTGTTCTGTTTGGTTTATGGTATCTGAACTCTAATAGTTTCTCCTTATATATAATGTAACAAGCCTATTAGATTATTCACTAACCACAACTTGCATTCAAAGAGTCTTACAAATCCTTTTCTCTTTTGTTCTTCTTCTCACTTTCCGATTTAAATCTTTGCTCCTAAACAGCTAAAAAGATTATGAACACAACGAAACTCATCAAGATGGCTAAGAAATGGCAACAAAGAGCTGCCCTCAAGAGAAAAAGAATCTCATTTCAGAGATCAATTACTACTACTAGCTCATCTGCCGTAGAAAAGGGATGTTTTGTAGTTTACACGGCAGACGAAGCACGCTTTGCTTTTCCGATAAGTTACCTAAGCCACTCTGTATTCCAAGAGCTCTTGAAGATATCGGAAGAAGAGTTTGGCATCCCAAGCGGTGGACCAATTACTTTACCATTCGATTCGGTTTTCTTGGAGTATCTAATCAAATTGATTGAAAGACGAATGGATGGAGATATAGAGAAGGCTCTGCTTATGTCAATCTCTAGTGCTAAATGTTCTTCACAATGCTCATTGCAACTACAAGAACAACAGAGTAGACAACAGTTGCTTGTATTTTAGAGTAGATATAATTTTTTTTTTTTGTAAAGATTCATATATTTTTATACTTTATACAGTACAAAACAAAAATTTGTACTCTTCTCTGTTTAAAAAGGGGAAATTGGATTTGAAGTACCGAAAACATCCAGAATTGTGCATAAAGAACATGTCTTATCTGGATTAGTTTAAAGTATCTGAGAAGAAAGTGGGAGCAGCTTCATGATCAAAACCTATATAGCAAGGTCCTTGTATTTCCAGAAGATTGTGATCTATATATTTAGGGAGTAAAAAGTGCATGTCGTTTGTAGTGTCATGGAGAGCAAAGTTGTGACGTTTTTAACTCTTTTTTAAGGAAAAAGACAAAAATCGGTTACGAACACATGAGACACCGGTCTGGTCGAATTTCTCGTTCTTGATGTCTGTTTTTTTGGAAGAATCAGCTTGCGAACCAAACCGAACCAATTATTATAAAAAAAAAAAAAAGTTAACCAGAATTATAGTTATAATTCATAATAATATAAAATATCTGCTGTAGCATAAAAGCTAAAGCCATGGTCTCAATTATCAATTGATCCGATGTATTCCGGGTTCATAGCCCGGCTACAGAATATAATTTTGTGATTTTGTTCGTTTTCTTTAACCAAAAGTTAATCAAAATCCCTTATATATAATTATAATAATTCATAACAATACAAAAGATCCGTTGTAGCCATGGAATTTTCCTATGAATTCCGGGTTCAAAGCCTGGTTGCGTAATATATTTTTGGGATTTTATTCGTTTTCTTTAACCAAAAGTTAATCAAAATCCCTTATATATAATTATAATAATTCATAACAATACAAAAGATCCGTTGTAGCCATGGAATTTTCCTATGAATTCCGGGTTCAAAGCCTGGTTGCGTAATATATTTTTGGGATTTTATTCGTTTTCTTTAACCAAAAGTTAACCAAAAGCCCTTAGATATAATTATAATTCATAATAATACAAAAGATCTGTTGTAGCACAAAGGCTAAAACCGTGGGATTTTCCTATGAATTCCGGGTTCAAAGCCTGGCTGTGGAATATATTTATGGGATTTTATTCGTTTTCTTTAATCAAAAGCCCTTATATATAATTATAATTCATAATAATACAAAAGATTTGTTGTAGCACAAAGGCTATAACCATGGGATTTCCTATGAATTCCGGATTCAAAGCGTGGTTGCAGAATATATTTTTTCCGTTTTCTTTAACCAAAAGTTAACCAAAATACAGAAGCATGTGTTTATGGCTGGTTTGGTTGCTCTAAGTTTTTTGTCGAAAGCTTAATCTAAAAGAGTTTCTCATTATATATATACAATGCAACAAGCCTATTGGATTCCTCATCAACCATAACTTACATTCAAAGACTTATACAAAGAAAACTCACAAATTTTTTTGTTCTTTCTTTCTCCTTCTCGCTTTCGGATCTAACTCTTTGTCCTGAAAACGATGATGAACTCAAAGAAGATCATGAAGATGGTCAAGAAATGGCAACAAAGAGCAGCTCTCAAGAGGAAAAGAATCTCAGTTCAAAGAACAAATACATCTGCTAGCTTTGTAGAAAAGGGCTGTTTTGTGGTTTATACAGCAGATAAAACCCGTTTTGCTTTTCCGATAAGTTATCTAAGCAACTATGTCTTCCAAGAGCTCTTGAAGATCTCTGAAGAAGAATTTGGCATCCCAAGCGGTGGACCAATCACGTTGCCATTTGATTCGGTTTTCTTGGAGTATCTAATCAAATTGATCGAAAGACGAATGGACGGAGATATGGAAAACGCTCTGTTAATGTCAATCTCTAGTTCTCTACATTGTTCTTTACAACAACAAGAACAGAGTACTCAACAAATGCTTGTATTTTAGAGTTTCTAGAGAGTAGATAGATTTTTTGTACGGATTTCAGATATTACTTTATACAAAACAAAATTAGTTTAAAACGTATGTAACAAGTTTCCTTTCATCATATACATCTAGTCGTATAGTAACAAAATTACTTCAAAACATAGATAATTTTTTTAACTTTTTTAAAAGTTTTTACTTTGATTCCTAACTTACTAAAATAAGATTCGATTCAAATGATTTATTTTTTTACATAATTTAGCTTTTTAGTTAATCCAGTTTTGAAGAATTGAAAGATGATTTAGATCCAAATAAACCAAATCCTAGTAAAAAACTTGTCAGTTTTAGAGTTTTTCTCCATTTTAGAGTTAAACAACCATGTTTCATCTAAAGTCTTCCATGGCTTAAGAAACAGAGGAGTAACGTTATCAAAGTTACTAACAATAGAAATGACAGAACATTGTTGTACCATTTACAAATATTTTGATTGATCCAAGAACATATAAATAAAGGTTTAAATTGACAGAACATTATTGTTTACCATAAACAAAGATTAACGACAATAGAAAATGGCACCGAACAAACCCAATAAGACTATAGTACTACTTGAGAGACTGGAGGACACAAACAATTCCAATAAGACTACTACATATTATTTAAGAGACTGAACAACCAACCAACTAGTTTCTGATAAATCAATGGACCAGCTATTGTTTGTTCCTTACTTAAGTGAAGTACTATCAACATGATTCAAGAAGGTATGAGCAAAGTGATATGAACCTCCTTCAGCTCCTCCATCGACGTTAAACTTTTCGTGACATTTTGTGTTTGTATTGTAATACACCAAAAAGAATGATTTTCCATCAAGCAACCCATTTTGTGCGAAAACAAGTTGTCCTAATCCAATGGTGCCTTCGAAAGAAAACGACATATTTCCGATCTTTTCTCTCCAACCATGAATCACAACCTCTTCTTCCAACCATTCTCCTGTATTATCGTTCCTAACCAACATCTCAATTACTCCTTTGTGATACAACTTATTTCCCGAGGGATTCACTAGGGCAATACACCCGTTATAGTTCACCAATTTAGCAGAATGCTGAATTTGGACTCCTAGAGGTAACTCAATGACATTAAACTCTTCAGACTTCACGTTGAAGCTCATTAGTATTCCTTTATTATAAGGATTACCCCAAGCTCCATAGTAGACAACTCCTCTTTTACATAGTCCTTTAGTAACTGGATAATGACGATGATTACATACGATCGGTCTCCAAGATTCTTCACCCGATCCCATCGTGTAAACTTGAAAATTCCTAGTTCCATTTGGTAAAGCATTCTCTGGCGAAGTCGTACATAACACCTTGAATACATTTGAAACTTCATCGTATCCAAAAAAGCTTCTAACGAAGGTTGCTTTAGGTTCAGGTAAATACACAAACTTTTGAATATCCGGATTGCAAATCACGACCTTAGTTTCTGATTGAAGACATATCAAACCTCGGATGGGTGCAGAAATCTCATCTAGTGGTTCATTAGTAATTTGCATCTGCCGTTGACCAGACCACCACAATGGTTTCTTTTCTTGGTAAACAGAGTGAAACAAGATATCTGGTGTTGGGTCGAATTCTTTTCGACAGAATACGAATAACATTCGAGGCCTTGTATTTGATCGGTTCATCAAAGATTTCTTAGGCAACCATGACATAATCTCTCTTTGTATATCTCCATGAACTTCTTCGCTTATTTTCTCCTTTTTCTTTGTATTCTCCATTTTTGTTTTCTTGTTCTTTAATTCTCTTAGAATATTTAGTTGTTGGATACAAAAACACAAATGTGAAATTTATAGGAAGTATCAAACACTGAGAGGGTTACTTTAGTTTGTTATACGAAACTTCTGAGTAGGTAACTTTAGTTTAACTTGTTGAGTCATCTAACTTTTTAACGCGTTTATCTTTAATTTACATCTAAAATCCAAAAAAAAAAGACATAGAACTTTAGTTCCACATATTAAAACTTGCTAAAACTGTTGGCTAATTAGCACATAGTCAGATATCAAGTATGAATGAATTTACAAGTTTTAGTTTGTTGTACACGTTTAGTGGGTTTTTAGAATATAATTGAAACAATTCTTTTTGTTTTACATTTCTTTTTCTGTAAGCGTTGTAGAAAAAATCTTTAAAATTGATTTTTTTTTTCTTCACTAGAAATAGATTGGTGAAAACCGTGATTTAATAGGTTTTTTTTAAACGTGCAATATTCTATCTCTTTTGTTTTTGTAAAATTATTGTTGATATTACAGAAAAACGTGTGACAATTTCG